AAGAACTACACGATGTTTTGAGAAACATTGCAAAAACTCTGGCAAAAACTGATTGAAAATTCGACAACAATAAATAACAGTTTTATACGTATGATGTAAATTATACAATAATATACTGGTCAGGGTAATATTATGACAGTCGTGGAGCGCGTCACATAATCTATTTATAGGCTACACTATTATAATATTCTATAATAATGCACGCGTCATATGTAATGATGTATGGCCGTACAACAGGTAATAATTAATAACATTTACATAGGTGACGGTAACGACAGTCGAGAATCACGCTGTGCTTTCACGATTTCGTAAAATTTTAAAACAACAAATCAACGCCTTAACAATATACCTCACTAGACTATAGTTTACACTTTACACCTTTAACATAGTCTCCTTATATCCTATACAATATATTACATATTAGGTATATAATTATTAATTATTATATTATAAGGACTGATGTAATAATGTATAATATAATATTATTGTTTTGGGCATGCGCATTATTATATAAATAAAATAAATAACTACTATGAGTGACTATGACCAATTAAAAATACGGTTGTCGCGTACTTCTAAATAATTTTAACAACGATACAGCGATGACGGCTGCTTATACACACAGAAGATATTATGCTGCAGTAGGTCTAAACATTCGATGGCTTTTTGACTTCAACAACGAAATAATTATCTCGATTTATAAGATAATATTACGTAATGAGCACGCACGCACTATTATACTATAATATACTCCTATTCATAATTTGTATCACATAAGTCTCGCCACACATGTACCTACACATCCTACACACACACACACTACAACACGATCGCTAATAGACTTCCGGTCGTGCAAAACTGACTGCGATGTATAATAACTCGTCATGTACACACGATACAATAATATTATACTCTGATTATAATATCATGAATTATCATATGTGCACAGTGCACACGTACATATTTTAAATCAATATAAGATCTAGAAGATTTTGCATACGAACATATTTTAAATGTTTGTGGGGAACTGGGATACGATAAGCCTTAAGTGCGGCAAACAGAGCAATAGGTTTATTGAACAGATAGAAAACTGCACTTTGAAAAAAAGAATGAGAAACTGCACAAAAAGAATTGCAACGATTTTCCAACGCCCAACGAACTTATTATACGCGTTCTCACGTAGATGATGTACAATAATATATACAGTAGATAAACCTATATAATACATATATATATTATCATAACTTAAAAGTATACACGCTGGTTGGTTCTCCGGTATTATTATAGCGTAATGCGTCATTGGGATGCAATATCACGTGCTGCACCCCTGCTCGGGCCGTATTGGTGTATACTATATTATATATACGCTGCATGACCACTATATAGGTAGGATCAATGCCTGAACGAAATACGCGTTATTGAAACGTTCGTGTAATCGTATTATTGTTAACATAATTACTACTACCTAATACCACCACATCCACATCGGCACCACTACAAAAATACAATAATATGTAGATAATAGAATATTATCACGATAAAAGTAAAATGTTAAAATATGAGGATACTATGTAATACTATGCACTGATATGTTTAGTTGTGGTAAGTACACGTCTAGAGACAGCCAAGACAGGTACAGCCAAGACTCCAGTCAGTGAATTCAAATGAGCCGACACTGAAATTCCCATGACATTCGGCGAAATGGTTATATATAAAACATAAGAAATGAAATAAGTAACCGATGGCAATAATAAAAAAATTATTACAACGCACGGTTTATTAACCGATCTTCTAATACATAAAGCACGCTCTAGTTAAACGTTAAGCCCCGGCCACAAGTAGCCAGTAGGTATACAGTATCACTGTATATTATATATCATGGCATCACACAATAATAATAAATAACATTGTAACATACTAAAAGTAATCAAAGAATATTTTATAATAATTATATTATTCAGCTATAGTTTTTAAAGTTATTTTTAAATATTTTCAAACTAAAAGCAACTCCATGCCTCAWTTACAAAATAATTGTTTAGAACGTCATTGAAAAATAAAATTGCAATACCTATCTATGTGCAGGCTATGTAAATAATAAAAATATCTACGTCTACGCAATATAATTTTATTATACTTTTAATTTTGATTTTAAAAACAATAATATCAACAACAAATTTCAATCAACATATTTTAAATTAAGCTATCAATTTTTTTACCGTTTTAAAAATAATTTATGATTGTATAAGAGTATACCAAATAGAAAAGGAAAAATCACTGAAAGGAAGCTATACGGAAATAAGAAATATTATAAAATCCAACTGTATAGTTTAAAATGTTTAAATACTTACCTAATTGTTATCAAAATTAAATTAGGTATGTCTAGTAGGCATATATTATTAAACAAATTTTGCTGAACAATTAACGCTTAGTAGACAAAAATGAAATGCTTTATGTATATATAATTAAAATTGAGGGATATAAAATTTAAGTACATAATATAGTAATGTCACCACTATAACTATGAAATATAATATACTTTAAAATCAAATGTAACGACATGTATGTAACAATTGTATTAGGATAATAAACTATGTAATAATATAACTAATAACTAAACCTTAGCGTTCAGAATACTACGATTATTATGAATATTATATTAAGAGGAGCGTGTGTATAACTACTATCATTGATTATAAATACTATAATAATATTATAATATTTATAATCAATGCTACTACCTATTTTATTTTAAAAAAATGTCACTAGTGTAAATAATACTAATACGAGTAAGTCAATGTAAACCAAAATTAAGTGTAAAATATCGTACAATATAATTAGTTTTGTAAAATATACATGTGTATTAGGTAGGTACTTAAATTCTTCGTGGGTAGGTAATATCACTCAGTATATCATATTTTTAATAAAACATTACCCATATTCATCTGGTATTAACTCAATATACTATATATAGTCCGTACCTAATGGAATAATTCATTACACATTATTAGTATTTAATACTTAAAGAACACGTATTTTTTCTTCTTTAAAATTAATAAGCATTACCTAACTATATTTTAATGAATGCAAATATTCGTTTACATAACATAAAAATATACAAATTTTAAACCTATATTTCTACTTCAACAATTATCTTCTGAAATAAGCTAATTTACTAAAAAATCATTATTTAAAACTATAAAACAATTTATTATTATAGWCATTCTTTGTCGAAATCACATAATGTCATAAATAGTCGTAGATGTTATAATTATAATTATCACTCATCAGATCAGTTACTATGGTTTCCAGTATAGCTCATGTTGTAAGCATTCATTTACGAGTCACGTGGGAAATAAAAGTGGTATATCATATTTTTTAGTTACGAAACTTAAACTGTTACTCATATTTTCGCCAAGTCAACAAAGTCAAGTTAATAAATGTTTTTAAGCAAAAACACTAGTTTCTCGTAAAAATATTTGTGAAAATATCATTTCATTTTATTATAACTACCTATATAATATTATTCTATCATATTGTTCTAATTTAACCATCAAGAACAGAATCAATGGATTACTGAAATTCCGCACAAACTCAATACAGTTATGCGGCGTTCCAGTTAAAAATGAATCGAAACAAAAATACCAAACAGCCATCGAAACAATAACAGTCCAACCACTGAGCATGGTTATTATTCGTATAATATCGGCGTATTAATATTGAAACGAAAAAAATCTGTGCAGCGTGTTAAAATCCCATTGTAGCTAAATAATAATGTATCGAGATAAAAAAAAACGTTGTTTTTGTGCTAGTCGACAAATAAAAAAATGAATATAATATAATTATGTAACAATAATTCCTAATAATATTATTGTTTAGCGTCGATGCGATACTACGAAACGCAATAACTATACTTTAATAGTTGAATACCTACTCAAAGAAATGGAATGAAATATTTGACGTTTATCTCATTGCGTTCGCCGAAAGAATGAAAGACACGTTGTGCCACCCGCGCACCTACCTACCTACAGGCAAGGACGGTGGAATCGTTTTTCCACATAACAAATCGGATCGTAAAAACAAAAACAAAAAACATGTAAAAACAAGTCGGAGGCCGAATTTTATTGTTTGGTTCCGCGACGTCGTTATCGTCGTCTATTACACTGCATAAACGCATAGACGATAAACCCCGTTCTGAGTATAAAGCGGAAAATAACATAACAGGTACATCTTATAATAATATACAGGCCGTATAGTCGTCATAATGATAATAAAAAATATATTTGGAGATGTTTTTAAAATCTCCCGGTGGTCGCGACCAGACGCAATTCAACCATAATGGAAGAGAACCACGAATGCTGTACAATAATAATAATAATAATACGAAAGCATACGGTACAATATTACTGAGACCGTCTACCTCTCCAACTATATACAACTACAGTCTACACACGTCGTATCGTGTGCATAGTCATTCGGTCGGCGGCAATGGTTTGTTGTGGTTGCTAAAACCAGTTTACTCCGGTCCGTGACCGGGCTACCGTATGGTCGTCGTGGTGTCTGCGCGTGGGGTTTACGCATTACCCGCGCGATACGATTTTCAAAAAATAAAATTCTATCTCAGACCGTATGCCCACTACGACGTGCTGTAGTGTATCGTATAAATCGTGACACGAAAATCGATAAAGATTTAATTTTTAACGGTTTCTATATCATGAACGAAACGATCGTCGCGATGACGACGGGATAGGTGCATTCCCCAATCAATATTATATTACAATATTATATGCTCATTGATATTTTCTACAATTATTTTAATAATTTCCATATCCATYCAATCTACAACGCCTAAGTTATAATGATAACATACCAAGGTACATAATATTATTATACGTCATAATATCGTATAACACAGGGGCAATGTGAGCGATGCATTTCGAGACGGACTTTGCTTCAAAAACAAAAACAACCCGCGTTGCGGAAAAATATTAATTAACGTTCACCTGCCTGGCGTGTGACAGCGACAACTGCTACGGCAAATCCGGTCCATGGAAAGTTCCGCCAAAACTCGCGAGCGATCTCGGTTTTTGTTGTTTTCCTCAAAAAATCCTTCGGCCACGCAGTCACATCGCACGCGCGATCGGTCGTTCCGGAACTCACGATACCGTCYGCACAATGAGGCACAACCCACGTAAATCGCAGCGACAAATTGTTATCAGGTAATACCGCTTGCCATTAAATATTTAAATCTCCGAACGGGACGCGACTTCGCAACAACGGCGCACCACACGGATCGACAAAAACGACACAAACGCGCACGGCGGACGCGAACGCGACACTGACGAAAAACGCGCGCACGTCGGCAGCCGGTCGACCGGTAGGTAACGGCAACGCTACACACACGTTTCGGCCAATACCGGCACGGCGTTCGTCGGCAGCGGCTGTGGCACCGCTCTGACGGCCGGTAGAGGGGGGTGTGCGTGCGGKACATGTCGTTTGCCGGCTAACCGACCGACCGACCGATCGCATGCGATATCGTTGTTATTGTTATGATTATATTATTATTATTAT